CAATCGCAATCGCATTGTAGTACAGAGCATTCATGAGAAGAAATTCAACAAAACGCCAAGAAAAATATCATTTAGTGTAAAGTTATACCAAAGACACACTCTCTGTCTTTGGTTATACATACAAAACATATGTCTATTCACTACAGACAATTCATGCTACAACAGACCAGACTATTTTTATCTACAAACATACATTATTTATATATGTTTTACATATGTATGTTGCTTCCGCCTGAATAACGTATCATCCCAGTTGTGAGAACTAATTATACTGCAAATGCACTATGACACAGTGACGTCACATTATAGTCTAAGCTGATTGCATTTCACAGTCATTACAAAGAAATTAAAAAGGGATGATGGCTGTGTGGGTACGTTATTCTAAATATAGACCCCCACATGTGTAAAATATGAGGGCCTATTCAACGTATGGTCCATGTACATGGTTACAAAGAATTATATAAAAAGAAGAAAAAATAGATTTATAGCTCGAATTTTGATAAATTTCTTTTTCTTTCTTATAAATTATTTTTACGTTCATTCATTCGCCAGGGAAGAAATCACGAAAGCACTTCAAAAAGTGATATTTGATTTCAAGATAATTTGCATTTTAATTCTGACTAACTTCAGTATACATATACACTCTGTGACGGTGTTCAAGTAAAAATAGATTTGTTTATGCTACGTTTGTTGTATAGTAGAATTAAGTCACAGAAATCACATCACTACACGATTTCGATTTTTGGTTCTCGTTTCTGAGATTGCGATACGAAGAGAGAGATCCCGCATTGTAGTACAGAGCATTCATGAGAAGAAATTCAACAAAACGCCAAGAAAAATATCACAATCGACGAATACAAAATTTAGAAGTATACTCACTTAGTCTGGGCTGTGAAATGTAGTTTCTAGTTATTGCCAAAGCATGTTCTCTACTGGCTTGGAGGTTATTTTTGGAAGAGTGTAAATCCATCAGATCTCCGTTCATCGCCATCTTGAATGTAATAATTCGTCATGTGACCCGTTCTGGTCAGGTGAACTTTACATCACTGCTTTGCGGATAGGACTGTGGCGGCGCACTTTTGCAAACCTCGTCGACGACATGTGAGCGGAGTTGCATGGTCACTTCTTTGACAGTTTGTTAATACTGGTGTAATTGCAATGATATTCAAAATGCACGGTAGTCAAACAAATCCGATTCTATTTTTATTTATAAAATGCAAGCATATTTTATTGGAATGTTCATAATACAACGCTTGGTTCTAATAAAACAAATACTGGCTAACACATTTCTACAAAAATACGAATTGAGCTGGAAAGATGTCGAACATTCATTGAACACTTAAATTTACAACTGTAAGTTTGCTTGTTAGCTGAAACACGGTTACTAAAAAAGTAACCGTGGCTGAAAGAACGAACGTAGACTTATTCGATGTTCCGG